CCCTAAAAAAACCCAAACCCTGAAAACCCTAAACCCTAAAAACCCCTAAACCCTAAAGCCCTAAAAACCTTAAACCCATGAACCCTAAAACCCTTCAATAAGCTCCAGGGCCTCTGTGGCCAGCAGCTTGTGGGTGCAAGGGCTACCAGGAAGGCTTAGCCTCTCACTTGGGCTAAACTCCTTCAACTATAGGGGATATAGGGTTTAGGGGGTTATATAGGGGATTACATAGGGGACTGCTAAAGGAGGATACTAGGAGTTTAGACCATCGATCACTTGGGCTTTCAGTGTTGATTTAGGGTTTCTTGGGTTTGGAGGGTTTTGGGGGGCTGCTTAGAGGTGAAGGGTTTGGGGAGCTTGTGGGATTGAAGTTCGAGGTTGAGCCTGATGAGCAAAAACTCTTGCGAAAAGTCGGAAATGCTTATCCAAGCTTTGGCACTTCTGACAAGCATTCGTGAACTGCCTGGGCGTGATCCTGACTTGGAAAATCCCCGAATCGCAAGTGCAAAGCCCGTTCACAGACCCTAAGCCCTAAGTCCCGACCCCACTCCCCGGCCCCCCCGCTCAGCCTGCAGTCTTCTGTCCACACCGAGAGAAGTGCCCAGTTCGCTCGAGTGGGATGGAACATGAAGGAAAGTCCTGAGCTTGCCAAAAAGAGTTTCACACAATAGGGTGCCCTCACACTCTTGAGCGTATTGAGAGATGTTGGGGGAGTGTGCAAAAAGGCACCTTTCGCAAGTCCCCAACACACATCTAGCAATTTGAGACGCCCCCTCCCCCGCTTCTTGTTTGGGCGTTGCGCTCTCAATCCCGAATCAACCCTAACCCCGAACTCTAAACCCTAAAATGCAAACCTTGAAGCTTAAACCCCAACAAGGCCTAGACTAAACTTACTCATGGTAACCAAAAAGTGGCTCCACTTATAGATGACCTGAACTACGGTACAGCATTACGATTAAGATATTTGAAAACAACTGTGATGAAACACGAAGCTAAAGTAAGCCTGGCTTCGGATGCCTGGGGGATGCACGACTTCTTTCCAGGTCGTCCCTGCATCAACACTCGCAAACACCTCGAGCCTGAAACCCACCGCCACCACCTTGGAGAAAACTCTTCTTTCTGCCATTCAATGTTGTCAATTCTCTTAGTCCGTATGGATGCCATGACATCCATGACACTGACTGCCATTTTGTGGCTGGAGACTGGAAAGCTGCAGCCTAGGTGCAGTGGAGGCATTCGCAGCACTCATGATGAGTCTCGCCACTTTGAGCGAGTGCACAGATTTCTGTTCCCAGTCTCTCCCATCATCCAAGCTTTCGTACAGGGTGCCTTGCAATGCAAAGTACGCCCACTGACTTCCAAGAAGCCCCAACCCATCCTTTCATTTCTCTGCAAGCACTACTATGGCAACTCGAGCATGTGTCACGACTCTTTACTGCTGCTACAACAACTGCAACATCAACTGCAGGCGACGCTCATGCTACGGATGCACGAATAAGGAGAATCCTCCTGAGAGTTGAGTGTGCGCCAATCTCACTTGTCTGCTTCTGCAGATGTCAGACTCTTGCTCTGCCTTACGTTCAGAGGCGGGTCGTGCTCCGACTTGCCCGAAACACATAATGCACAGGATTGGACAGCGGGACAAACCTCAAAAGACTATGGGACCAGCCCAAGAGTTTGTGACCTGAAGCTTGATGCCCAAAATTTTGGCTCCCAGTATACCAAAGAAGAGGAACCTTGCTTCACTTCTATGGCCAACCACCGAATTTTCCAGACGTTACCTGCAAATCCTGGTAACCTAAAGAACAGCTAAGGCTAAGGTGTGGTTGTGTCAAGCTTTCTGCTCAAAGAACCATCCCCAATGTTGCTATCAATATCATCATGGTGTTTAAGAAGTTCCGTGCCTTTCTGCGTATTCAGCAAGACTTTCCTTCGGTCGGCTCCCAGCCAGAGAATATCCACAATCGGAGCATCGAAGGTGGACATCTTCGTTGATGGAAGGCTGCCACCCAGTGTGCTTACGATGATCTGTAGCGGAAGCAGAAGAAGCAACTGGCGCATGGCGGCAACACACGAGCGAGACATTGTTCTTTCTATTATGTTCTACATGCTCGCTCGGTGGGAATTCAAGTACATGCTGCTTGCTGCGGGCTAAGTGGCTAAATCTTTGCGGGCCATGCTTCGTGCCGGCAACTTTCAATGCCCTCATCTCCCGCATGCTTGAGTTGAGAAGCTTGTGACACAGCAATTGCCATCAATCACAGTCAAAACTCCTCAGCTGGAACCTCGCAAGACCTAGAAGAGTCTAGACAATCCCTTAGCTCGTCCTCAGACTCAGACAATTTCAGTTCTCACTGAAGCTGGGGGACCCACGCAGACCCTGTGGAGCCCCGCAGACCTCAACGGGCCAGCAACTTGTCGGTTGCCAGATTGTGTAGTATGACGAATACATTATTACTACAGCACTACAAAGTCGGTATTATCATCATCATTGTAACTATTGAAACTATGGCGGCCGTTGCTATCACTACAGCCGCCATCTTCAAGAAAACCCGCAACTCATCGAATCATCACAGCGATTGTTCAACAGCTTCTGCATCATTTTTCTGTCACTACCCTCACCCAAGGCTGGCGGACCCAAAGCAGGGCTGTATAGACCACTGCTCTTCTTATCCTTGTTGAAGCGCCAAGTTGGCCTTCCATGTAGTTTGTTCATGTCCCTATGAATATTCCTGGAAAGCTCCGACATAGTCCCCGGAACCCATCACCCCTACAAACCTCTAAAACGGATTCACTTCCTCCGTCCCCGAGAGCAGCGCAATGACTTCCTCACAGCTGCTGCGCCCAGGCACACCTGGGTTCAGCGCTTGGGGTTTCAGGAGTTTGAGAGCTGTCAGGCTCAGGAGCTAATTTGTGAAGACCTTCTAGTTCTATGGCTCTCTGCTCAAGAAACACGTTTTGGGCCGAGATGCAGGGGCTGTAGCTAGGTAGTCATGAAATGCAAGTTGGATACAATTCGCGGAACAGGCCCGAAACCACCAACCGTCAAGGGGCCCTTGCAGCGCGGCCCCTTCACCATCATCTTCTACACTCCATAAGGCAGCTAAAGCAACCCCTGGGCTCCCCAACAGTGGTCCAGTACTCTGGCCAGCAAACTTGGAGCCAGAGCCTCCCCCGACAAAAGTTGTTGGCTTTTGGGTTTGGGGCTGATTGAAGATGTAGGGCTTGGGCTTTGGGTTCGAGGATGTTGGCTTCAGGGTTGGGGTTGAGGGCTTGATCTTGCAGGAGTGTCTACGTTCTGCATGGTCGCGCTTGCGCTAAATCCACGCTACCCGAAATGCAAACGCGTGATAGGCTGGGCCAAAACACAAGGGAAGAGACGCGGAATTGTGCTGGCAGCTCATGGATCAGAACGTCGATGTAATGTCTATATAGTATAATATAGTATAATACTTATAGTACAGAGACTTGCCGAATGAGGAGATCCGTAGAGTTATGCCTCCGGCAACGAAAAAAAAAGTCACAGCAATTCCTCCAGGAATACTCCAAATAATTATCTCGCCTACTCCAGGTCAGTATTTCTTATCAATGAAGCCCCTTGCGTGCCTCCTGAAAAGGTAATTAGCACCCAGACTTCCACACCCCCGCTTAAGCAGCAGCAAGACAGAGCCGGGCGCACAGCCGCATGCGGCCCAGAGGGAGGCTCCCCCGGTAGAAAAGGCTGGCAAACAGGGCATGGGGTTGCTTAGGAGTCAAGGGGGGGTCGAGTCGGAATCATACAAGTTTCCCAGTTTAGCTACAGCTATGCTTAGGCTCAACGGGTGTGTGTTCTGGGAGCGTGCAAGTCCCTCAGTCTGAGCGGGGTCATGCGAGAAACACCTCACACAAACTCCAGTATAAACAAGACGCTGGATCTTCTGTTCCTGTAGCTGTGGACACCGATCATTTGGAGTCATCACAGGATAGACGGTGGGAGGTACTTGTATACTTGCGGTCACCAGATGTCTGCACTGCACAATGTACCGGATGAACTTTATAAACACCTCAACGAAGATCACGAATAGGGATTTCCCCTACTTCAGACTTAAGGCGGACTATAATCCCACCATATACCCTTTAACCCATTATAGTAGTTTCCATTTTCTTTTCCATTATCCCTATATAACCCTAAACCCTAAGCCCCTATAACCCAGTGGAAGTATCATCTGAGCTCCACTCCGAAGTGTCCAGCAGAGGAACTTTGTGCCGGACCTGTCAGAAAAAAAGCCGAAGCTTCAAACCCCATAGCAGTTTCCATTTTATTGTCCATTATCCCTATATAGGGGATATATGACCATAGTGGAAAACAAAAACGAAACTACTACTGTATAGGGATAGGAAGTCTCAAACTGACTTCGGGTTGGAAGGCGATTACGAGGCAATGCACCAGAAGCGACAATCTCTATCATCATCCTCACCAGGATTATATTTGCCACAGCTGCAGCATCAGTCCTGTCATTATTCGTCCATCCCATTATTTCTCAGAGCATGGGTCTTTGGGAGCCCCAATACAGAGATTACATGGGGATTACAGGGGTCAAACTACATTCATGATGGGTGCCTTGCCCCCATGTCGAGGCATGAACTCCAAGACCAGCCGATGGCCCGCCAGGCAAATCAGGAGGCCTTCGGCCTCGGCATGAACCCTGATTCCAAGTACCTTTGCTGCTGGCTGTCCTCCACCACCAGCAGAAGCACCACCACCACCACCACCACCACCACAACCACCACCAAGAGGCAGCAGCACCACCAGGACCAGCACCAGTACAAGGATCATCATCATCGTCATCATCAGCAGAAGGAGCAGTACACCACCACCATCTTGAGCTGCGCTGCTACTCATTGTCATCTATTTGGTAGCATGTAAATTGATGTTCTCTTTCAGGTAAACGGCTTCGCTTGCAGCAAGACTCCGCTGGGTTGTCCGTCGGACTGTTCTTGTGTTGTTGCTACTCGCGTTGCTCTTTGCCTATATGTGTTACATACCACTGCTCCCTCTGACTTATGGTGAAATGACAGCTACTGAGCATTTCCGAGCTGTACCACCTGCAAGCTTCCTCCAGGGGTAAGGTAAGGACTGCATCAAGTACTCCTAGGTGGGAGTTTTCATAGATAGGGTTCCATTCTCGACACCAGTTTTGTTGAACTCCACATTGCAGGGAACGCCCAAAAGGGAGCGGAAACCCCTAAATCCCAACCCAGGGAGCCGGGCTGTGCGCTGCTGCGAGCCACGCAACGCCACAGCGAGCACGCGTGCAGACACCACCGCCTTCGCCTCCTGCAAGGATAGCTGAGCTGAACAGTAGGAACAGGGAGGTAGTAGAATTGGGGAAGCTGTAGCAGCAGTAATGGCAGCAGCGACGGTCATACAAGGCGGCTGCCGCTGAAGCTGGGACTGCTTCCCTGTCAGATCTATGTAAGTATTCCTACTGGCATTTTCTTGTACTATAAATGTTATGGTTATTACGAGTACTGTTAGTATCATCTTGAGATTACAATTATCATTATTGTGATGACTCTTGTTGCGATTAATGTTATTATCTCCAGCTCCATTTTCACAGTGGGGGCCCACCCTGCTCCATCAGGGTGCAGAGCGCATGCTGCAAGCGCTCCTGGACGTAAGCCTGCGCAGCCAACAGAGCCACCCAAAGCATACTGGATAGTTTAGGGTTTAGGTTTCGGGGTTTATGGCTCAGGGTTCAGGGTGGCCCCAAATTATGAGGTGCCGTGATACAGTCCCAGACACCCAAACAATACTGGGTAATTTTCAAAATTAGGGGACCGCTTTCCTTGCTGAGCAACCCTGTAAAGTCTACTGTTCTTCCCACAAGGCCTCAGAGCCTGAATGAATTCCAATGAAGAACCAGAGCTGTTTTTTCTGACGAGTGCTTCCTACGTCATCCTGATAAACTGCGCAGAACTATAGTGCTTTCATTGTAGAAGGGCTTCTTCAGGTTCCTGCTTGATGAGGGCGCCTGCGACGGTGTGGAGCGAAAGAACTTGCGCCGAAATGCAAACTGTGAGGCAGCGGAGTGGCCATCATCAGCGCCTGCACACACCACACCAAGCAACCAGCAATGCTACAGGGTTTACTGGGTTGCTGCTACGCTGCAGAGGAACTTAAATTCAGTTAGCATAACGTGCTTTCTAGTCAATAATAAGGGTTTCCGTATTATAGCAACTTAATTTAAGTTCCTGAACAGCAACCCAAACTATGTAGGGATAGGGTTGAAGATTCTAGCCTAGTTGTAAGCCGGACGACGTTAACAAGGACGTGGATCAACTGAGTAGGCCAGGGTGCTACAAGCAAGAGCTGCCAACACAACGCCAGGGGCACCATGAAGAACCAACTCCTCAGGACGGAAGATCACCGCAGCATCTCGGCCCAATTTGGCAATGCACCTTGGCAATCAGGTAGCAATCTAACAGCTTTTCAACCTGGAGGTTTTCAGAAGATGCACCCCGAATGCAAGGGAATCCTTCGCACAAGGACACCCCAAAGGCGGAACTGTTCTCAGATACTCTCATCTCATGCAGTTCTTGGCTCAGAGTGTATGGGAGGCACGAAGCTCAGAAAAAAAGCCCAGTCAACGCAAGCAGCCTTGCTCTTTGCTTGTTGCAAGCAGGGTGGGATCCCTTGTGTGATCGCCTTCCATGAGTTTATCAAACTTGCGCCCGCGGGGAGGGGACGAAAGCTTTCAATGCAAGCAGGGTGCATACCAGCACGTGCATTTTTCATGATGCGGCGGTCCCAAACGGCCTCCACGGCACCCGAAACGGCACCCCAAAACCGGACATAGACAGACCCCTCGTGACCCCTGTTTTCGAGNNTTCGAGGCCCGAAAGGAGGCCTCCCAAAACCCTCCTGCCGCTGGGTCTGGCCCGCGAAACACAGCCAAATTTGACCACTTTTGGGGGTTTCCCCTCCCCCACACCCCCTTAGTACAGATCAGCAAAGCTGGACCTGGACGAAAGCTCAGAGAAGCTTTCGTAACTAGGCAGGGCCCGAATGGAGGATTCCACCTGCCAACTAGAACCAAAGCCTCTTAGAAGCCCGGCTGCTACGTTACCCTCTTCCAAGCATGGAACCCCAGTCCCCGTTAAAACCAATGGGCATTTAGAGGAATATATTGTATAGGGATTATATATCCTTATTCGCTACTAACCCCCAGAAAGTAGAAAAGGGCAATATGCGACTCTGTGCCCCTTCTGGATTGCTGCTAAAGAACTTAAATTCAGTTATGAATAAGAAAACTTTTTTCTACGTACCGTGTACCCATATTATGGTTACTTAAGTTAAGTTCCTTAACAGCAACCCCGGTGCCCAGGAGTCCTCGCAGCACTCTGGGATCCAGGCTGAACGGCCCTGGGAGGTAGTGAGCAATCTGGGTCTGGTAGCAAATGACTGGCCTTTTGGTTAGCTGGGAGTGAAGGAATGGAAAGGAAAAGGGATACTACTGTAATGACTTCTATAGGAACTACTATAAGGATCCATTCCTTCACTCCCAGCTAACCAAAGGCCAGATAATGAAGTCTATAAGATACAAAGTTCGGAAATCGGGATGACAGTTTGGCATAAGAACCTACCATCAGTAGTGTCGCTCCTCTGTGCACTACATGTAGTCGGTTGTTGCTAGAAGGTATAGCTGCCGGTGGCGACTACTACTCTTGCTAACTTTGGTGATAGTATCTCTACTTCCACAAAAAGTGTTCTGGTTTTGCAAATCTGCACGGTTTCGAAATATCCCGACCTATAGACTTTTTACTTTTTACATCCACATCCGTAGCCCTCACCCCAAACCCCAAACCCTGGACCCAAATCCCAACTTTCACTTCATTTCCCATTTGAGATGGAATGGGGGATAATATCCCCAAACCCTGAGCCACAAACCCCAAACCCTGAACACTGCCTGCCTCTGGAATATTCGGAGGGAGCTGGCAGAAAGCTCAAAGAATCCTTGCGATGAGACCTTTTGCGAGCAGTTAGAGGGTCCGACGGGACTTGGCCTAGGGTTTAGGCTTTTTTTTACCAGAGGACTTTTACGTCTTCCCATAGGAGGGTTTAGGGTTTAGAGTTGGGGTTTCTTAGAGGTTAGATAGCGATTATATATTCCCTTGTTCCCTAGTAGCCACCAGTAAGCCTAGGGTTCAGGGCAAGTGTGCCACACCAACATGACCATAGGGCAATCAATAACTGCAGCTAGGCTACCTTGTTATCGTACTCCACACTTGACAAGAAGAGGCACCGTACTCGCAATCAAAAAAATCACAAGTCTCACCAACCCCTGGGCTTCAGCTAAACCCTAAACCCCTATAGACCCCAGTATAGTAGTTTCCATTTCCTTTTCCATCATCCCCATGTAACTCCAATATACACATATATACACATACATATATATATATATGTATATCCTAGTGAACTATAGTAAGTGTTCATGTTCTTTTCCATTATCCCTACATAACCCCAATATCCCTTGCGGGAGGGTTTAGGGTACTTGGGGGAGCCTGTGTGGCCAGCACCATCTGAGGAACGCTGTCTCATGCTGCGAGGAGCTCTCGATCTTAGAGCGCCGCGATGGCACTAAGTTACTCAAATCGGACCCATTGAAGTCTAGCAAAATATGCGCATCTGCTACATAGTTGCGTAACATGTGGCTTGATGTGGTTACAAGTTAGAATTGCTTCCGTCTTGGAGGCGAACAGGAATGTTGGAAACGTAATGCATCCAATTGTACGCTTGCAGCACCATTCTGCTACTAAACATCGCGGCTCAACTACCATGCGATTGGAATGGCTGCTTTTCGCTTGCCATCATCTTGAGCCTGAGATTGCATGGAGATGCACGGTACCTCAGCAGCGGACCCTACTGATCTGCCCAACACACTCCTAAAGAACTCACAATCCTCGCTTTGAAGCATGCGAGTGCAGAGTGCACCAATGGATGCTTGCAGGCAATGAGGCAAAACCACAGCCAGGTTTTCTACAGCAGTCCAGTGCTGGCGGGAATGCGCTTGCCTCAGCTTGCGGGGTGTCTCACGGTCATCCTTACAACGAAGACCTAGGTGACTACGGGACTATGAGACGTTCGCGCAACAGACCCATTTGGTGAAATGCATCCGCGCAGCTGGCGTCGTAGCGTGGTTGGAACCAAGACCAGTGTGACGAAGGCATGTCCTTTCGGTAGAAATACTCGCCCAGGTAGTCGAACTCGTTTACCTGATCCATCATTCTGTTTCTGCCACAACCCACGAATTGTGTAGCGGTGTAGCACTATCTGAGGAGTGATTCGGTTGGTGCTCCAACCTAAGGCGACCTAAGGCCTAGGGTACAATGGGGCCCTGATCTGGAGAAGCGACTTATCCCAATCCCATCACGTAGTCAATTGATTTTCTGTTTATACTGTAACCCCCCATAGATTGTCCATCTGACTTTCCATTTGACTTAACCTATAATGAAGCCATAGAGCCTCCCAAACCCTAAACCCCAAAGCCTGAACCCTAAACCTAGAAGCCGAAACCCCAAGACCTATAGTCCGCCCTAAGGAGATAGAATATAGCTTTGGGTATACCATAATAACATCCCCATATACCCCGTATTCTATCTACTTAAGGGGGACTGTAAACCCTCAACCCTAAACCCTGAAACCTGAACCCTAAAACCTATATAACCCCATTCTAGTAATTTCCATGTTCTTTTCCATTATCCCAATATAAGCCCAATAGAACCCTAACATTACCCACCCTGAACCTTGAAGCCTGAAGCCGAGACAAACTTAGGCCGAGCAGCCGCTGGATCCCGCACCGGAGCGTCCCTGGGGGCGAGCTCCCGGCGGTCCTTCAAAGCGTAATACCTGCTCGGGGGGCGGCTTTGTTACAGAAACTACTATAGCTTATTGGGGTTATATAGAGATGATGGAAACTGAACTGGAAACTACTTATTATAGGGTTTAGAGTTTAGGAGTGTAGGGGTTTAGGAGGGTTGAGAGTTGAGGGTTTAGGGCTGCAATGTCACGTGTCGCTTTCCCCAGCAGTGATGACACGATCACCGCGACGAGTAAACCAAGATGCTCATACGGGTCATAAATCAAAAAGAGGTCAGTACTGACAGCAACAGCAATAATTATGATGGTAGTAATAGTACTTGTACAAATAGTACTAGTAATATTAAAAATAGCAATAGTAAAACAGGTTCTGGGCGGAGGAATGAAGCGTCAGGAATTGCCAGCCTGGCCTAGACATGCGGATGTACTCGATGCGCTGACGCTTGTGCTTGATCTTATTCCTCAGCATGCCACACTTTTGGAATCAAACATCCTCTGTCGAACCAGGAGAGCCAAAAGCATCCCAAGTCAAAACCGAAGCCAGCGCCAATAAAAAGCAGAGAAAAGTCACAACACCACCTGGCAGCAAAGGTTCCCATGCTTGAAATACAAACCGGGTAGATTTCAAACCCCATGTCCAGTAGCGTCCAAGCTGCCAATGCCAATGGGGAACCTGAATCACTCGATATCCCATGGCCTTCGCAATGCGCTCCTGACAGTGGGGGCCAGACAGGCATGCCCAAAACTGAAACCCAAACCTCAACGTCCCTGTTGTCGATCAACTGTCGCGGGGAATACTACGACGATGGTTCTGACTACTCTCGCAGCCAAGCATTAGACAAGGCAAAAAGAAATGTCTCCTGCAAGCACATCGAAGCGATCTTCTCCGTGGAGGAGGTGTAGAAGCGATCAAAGTGGTTGCACTCGTAGATGATCTTGCGATCTCGTTCCACAATATCGAAAGTGAAAGGGCCACGCTCCGCATGCGCAACGTGCCCTATCTTCAGCTTTGTCAACGCCTCGGATGGTCACACTAAAAAACAACAAACGATGGTAAATGTGCTCTTCCACAAATTCCCAGTCCTTTCCAAAGCACGTTACGAGTACAACAGTTGGACCCGCCCTTCGAAACCTTCTGTTGTCCCTTCTTGGCTCCCGACATGGCTCAGCTTGCTCACGAAGAGCACCATGCGTTGCGTCTGCGAGGGCATCACCATCACCACCATCACCATCATCGTCATCATCGTCATCATGGTCACTATGGCCGCTCTACCCTTTGAGACTACCTTTACCCACAGTCGCCCCTGTTCTAGCCTACGATTTCCCCCTTGTTGAAATGCCATCCTTCCTGCTTTCCGCCCTGTGCCTGCGGGATCTCAGGCTCCATGCGGTGCGCCCTTGGGGGTTGGAGGGCTTGGTATATTGGGTAGAGCTTTGGGTTTGGAATCTACGGCTTGGGGTTTCTGGGTACGGGCCTGCGGAAGATCTGCTTGACGTCCTTGGGCAGCTGGGCATACACCTCCGGCAGTGGGCAGACTCGGAGCCCAACATGGTAATTAACGTTGGGCCCCTTGAAATACTTGCCATACCACTACGAATGAGCGACCCAGGACCACCTGAAGTGCGAAAGTTGCCAGCATAGTGATGGCAAAAGCATTGGTAACAGCAGTAAAGATCGGAAAGAATCAATATTCAACAGCAGCCATCAAAAGAGCTTCCCATCATGTCCTCAGGACTTTTTAACCCTTACTACAAGGACCCCAACAATGAGAACAATTATTTCGAGAAACCAAGCGGCAACCCACCAACCAATAGAAGTTTGATATATCAACCCCATATATTCCCTGTATCAATCCCTATGCAATCCCTTAATATAGTCCTTTATGATACTCCACTGCGTTAACTGCAGGACCAGATGATGCTGCCGCCCTACACCTCCCGGTGGAGGTATCGGAGGGCACTACGGAGCAGCAGCACGCGCCGCCGCAAAGAAGTCCTCCACTTGGGGTTTACGCTTCAGGTTGGGCTTTACGGTTTAGATTTGGGCTATATTGGGGCTATAGTACGATTATATTGGGATAATGGAAAATATGATGGAAACTACTATTTAGGGTTTAGGGTTGTAGGTTTGTTTAAGGGACCGATTTTCCAACTCTTTGAAGGTCTTGGAAATGCCTCCAAGGGCCAGGTTTCACCAGTCCTTGCACATACTCAACACTAAAATGTAGTTTCCATTATCCCAATATAGCCACAATATAACCCTACTATAACCCCAATATAACCCCAAGATAAACCGCGAGCGGCTTCAGCACATCACCATAGACTTGGATCATCAAAGCGACTAGACTACTCTAGATAGTATTGATAGTATTTGGAATATCTCCATATGCACACGCCCATGTTGTAGTTGTTGTAATCCCTATGTACAGTACCCAAAGCCCTGAACAACCATGTGACAATCTCTACGTAAGGCGCCTCCCTGCAAAAAAAAAAACATCTTCCTCCAGGAAGGTCGTTGCAACAGCTGTGGTGCTGCCTTCTCCAGTAGGTTGAGGACCTCAGGTTCGATTCCAAAAACACACCAGTCTTTGCCAGTCTTTGCAGAATTCTGGGGCCGTTTCCTTTGGGGCGGTGGGGGTACAGGGATCAACTGCGGCTTTCCCGTAGGGATTGCAAAATGCGAAAAGAAAAAAAACTGGCATGATTGAGAAGCCTGGGAGCTTTCGGCATGGACGCCTCATCCACACGCTGGGCGAGAAAAAGGATGTGGCAGAGCTTGAGCAACTGCTCCTAGGAAGGACACGGGCATTAGCTTCCGTGGCAGATTGCTGTAGACCGTGGCGTTCAAGGACTGTGCCATGGTCCCTATTTGACTACTTTGGAAGGCTTGCCCCATTCATTTTGAACAGAAGACTTATCTAAAGTAGCTTGGCACCAACAGGCATATTGCAGGATAAGATACTCAGTGATGAGCAGTGGGGATTATAAGCGGCTTAGCACTGTACTGAGTACTGGGTTCGTTCATGTGCAGAAGCAAAAGTCCAGCCTACCAAGTTCTCCAAGTGGGTGCGTGCCCCTAGGCTCTTCAACCACAGACCTCCACACCAAACCCAAACCCTGAGCCCCAAACCCCTGAAGCCCTGAAGCCTTGAGCCTTACACACCCGCCCCCTCTCTCAGAACCTGTGAAGCCCTTAGGCCAGGTGTCCGGTGGCTGGGACGGGGAGGATAAGGCTTGCTCTTCCAACGCCTGCCATAGCTCCTGAGCAGTTTTGAAATAACACTGCGCTGCTGTCATCAATGAACTTAGATGAAGCTACCACTTCTGCGGACACCGTTATCTTGTCCACTGCTTGACCAATATTATGGAAACTTACTTCCTATCCGGCATCCTCGCTCATCTCGCTGTGCTCGGAGGGCCAGAGACGCAAGAAGGCGTGGGAGTAGAGCACGCTGACAGCCTCTTGGGGAGACCTTAGCACCAAATCTCGGCACTTTGGAATTCCTGAAACTAAGAGTGCCGCATGAAAATTTCCGAGAGGACCCTGTGAGAATTTCCCAAAACTAAGGCTAGGTTGGGTGGTCCCGTAAAGGAAAACTTGATTGACACATATCTGCTTTGCTCTGCAAAACACTGAGTGCTGACCAGTCGCAAGCTTTGCATGCCTGGCGAAGGAGGCAGGAAAGAGTATGAACAGTTTGGAAGCATTGGTGCTTACTGTTCTCAATCTGCTAATAGCCATACCAACTACTCCTACTAGCACTATTACTTCTCCTGCTACTACTTCTACCTTCTACCAAGAACATTGTCAGCATAATGGCTATGACTATGATTCCAAACTGTCTGGCCGCCTCCCCGCAGGCAGGCTGCGATGCGGGCGAAGACCTCCGTATGGCGGTACCGCTGGGCGGCGAATGCCTGGGTTTGGAGGCTCAAATTGGGGGCCTTTTTTTGGGAGTCCGGCAATAAGGAGGAAAAAAATATGGCAGTCTATGTCGGGCCCCCTTTTTGCTTCATACCGTAGTCCGTGAGTGGGCGTCGGGCAATGGGACTGGAATCCTGGAAGGGCTTGCGGGAGGACTGTCTTTTGAGTCGATAGTGTCCCACAAGCGAGTCTTATCTAAGAGACACCTGTGTAGGGGGAAACTAGCTCAATGACCAGCAATCAACAAGAAGTGGGGGGGCCAGTCGTTCAGAAAACTTTTCTGCCACTAAAAACTTGTGCTAGCCACGAATCATCCTTCCAAAAGGCCCATAGACAGCAATGAATCAAACCACGGACATCATTAATCATGACATCTCATGCACAACGCCCCTTGCCATTTGGGTGGGAGAAGCCCACAAACTGCCCTATCTTACCCCTTGTAGCTTACTGAAGGTTAGTAGGGAACAACAGCAATGGCTTCGTAGAGCATTTACCATGTAATCTCCTATAGTCGTCCTGTCCTTATTCCCGGATATTATTCCTTACTCACCTTAAACTGCAAGCCTTGAATAATGTGGTGCACTAGCCTCATCCATTGTTCC